ATTTATTCTACTGAGCCATCTTCCCAGCCCCTTGTCTTTTTCTTTGTACTCTGACTGTCTAGTATCTCATCACCAACAATAAGTGCTCAGCAAATGTTTATTGAACTACATATTTGGCCCAGGCTAGGATTATCTGTTGACATCTCTAGTGGTAGAACACTTTTCCTTTGATCTCAGCCTTAGGCTTTCCTCAGGTCCAGGTGGCAAGTGAAGGTAAAGCCGATTACCTGTGATCATGCCAACATTCATTATATGTCTTTTATTTAAAGGACAAAGCAAGGTCACAGGAGTGAAGGGCTCCAGTGGCTTCCCAGGTCCAGGTTTGGCCCTAGATTACATACAAAAGCACATCAGGTCCTTTTGGAAACTCCTCCCCCCACCCAAGGGAAGATTAAGAGAGAATGAAATGCTCACCTCTTCAAGTCATGTGCCCTCCCTAAGTTTGGCTCAGTCTGTTCTGTAGGTCCCGATTATCTTGTTCCAGGACACCCAAAGGAAAGGCCCAACTGTTCTCAATGAGTGTCAGAGTGACAATTAAATGAAAAGTAGAGGAGGGCTAATGTGGTGGTCTTCTACCAGCAAGAGCCTTATGACAACCAAATGCTGAATGACCAAGGATACAAAGGCTTCAATTGCTCCTCCTCTCTCCAACAGTTCAGACCATTGCCACTGAAGCATAAAGAGTCTAGAAGGGGCGCCAAGAGGAGAGGACAGGAAGCTAGCATGCATGAATGCCTATAACACTTATCATCACATTCCACATTACCATCTGAGGTCTCCAACTCTACAAGTGAAGACACAAACTAAGAAGACTTTCAGCTTGTCCAGGCCTTATAGACGCAAAAACCCACCTTCTTCTCTCTATCTCACCAGAGTTAGGACATTACATCTGAATTTGTGCTCTTAGCTCCCATTATAGCCTTCTCCATGAGAGAATGTAGCAGAAAGTTGTGTCTACTAGTTAAATAGCACTCTTTAATTCACAGCAGTCAGTATACTAGGCTCAGAGCTTATTAGAGGATGATGCTATCAGCAAACGTACTGAGTTTATTGTGTGCTCAGTATCTAGTTTAGTACTCTCAATAATCCTAAGTGAAAGTAGGAAGGTATTTATCTCTAAATCTGCTTTCCTCCCCTATAAAAGAGAGATTGATAACCATGTTCCAGTGGTAAATTCATTAACTGTTAATCTGGAAGGGCCAGCCAGATAGCTCAGCAGACTAAAGTGCCTGCTTAGGCAGAGCGCAGTGGCCGGAGTTCGATCCCCTGTGTGCTGTGCCAGCCCCCACCCCCAGGCGTGCTGAGACTGGGATTGAGACTGGGGGTGGTGTGTGCCTGTAATCCCAGCACTTAGGAGGCTGAAAACAGGAGAACCACTATGAGTCCAATTTATGTAGTGAGACCCTGCTGATCCTGTACCAAATACATAAAAAATAAATAAATAAATAAAAATAAATACAAATCTTCATGAAGAAAAAAAGTGAATCTGGGATCTGAACCTAGGATTTGAGTCTCTCAGCTAGTCTCAAGAGGCCTTGGGGCAGAAGAGAAAGCATTCTATTGCTTCCTAACCAGGATACAGGGACTGGGAGGAGGGAGCCAGTGGACAAAAAGAAAGGTAATGCGTAGGGCTGCCTTTGCCAGAGTTTTTTTAAGCCTTGATTTCCCCTGCCCTATAAAATGGAATAGGGCATCTTACCTGCCCTAGCCTCAAAGAGAGGTGGAATAGAGGCTGAGGCCAGTCAAATAAATGCAGAGCAAGTCTTAAACTAGGAGAGTTTCCCAGGACTATCAATATCAATACCTTAATGAACTCTTAATGACAGATATTCCAGCTCAATAGTAATCACTGAGGACCTTACTATTCTTTATTCTAGTATGCT